TAAATCCGTAACTTTTTTTAATGTTCGAAGTTGTACATCTGAGGTAGGACAATACATATCTGCTTGATGTGGGCTACAGAGAATTCACATAAGTTCTTAAAGTGCCTTTATTCTCAAAAAAAAATGGAAAAACCCCTTTTTTTTTCCACAGGATACAATGGAATACTTGCTGACATGGAAATTCACACAAGATAAATATAATTGAGTTTATTTCTAGGGTTCATTTTTTAGTTGGGGCAGCCGTATATCTGTACTGATGTGGGAGCTCACAGTCCATATAAATTACTGACGTGGTGGATTTGGACAGAAACTGAAATCAGTGAGAAACTACTGAAATAATTACATTTTCCCACCTCCTCATGTTAAAGTAATATCATCTGAATAGTTTTTCAGATTGTAGTAGGATAGAAAGTAAATGTATTCTCCAAGTTAAGGGTGGTCAGTATGGCAGGAATACATCATAATATATCCGAAATTTTCATGATGCACACCATGAATGTGTTCAACAGTACATATCATAGCTTTATTTCATTCAATAGGTTTTATTTCATAACTTATTACTGTACAGCTGTAGATTGGAAGTGCAGTAGTAGTGTATATTGTGTATATCTTTAGAGTCAGTGTTTATATATTTCTTTTTCATGTATGTGTGTGTGTGTATATGTGTGTGTGTGTGTGTGTATGTGTATATATAATATAAAATGTGTATATATAGTGTGTGTGTGTGTGTGTGTATATATATATCATTCACCTTGCACCTGTGTGAATGTGATGTGACAATAAATGTGATTTGAAATCGCTGATAGCACATCGGCTGTGGGCGTTTCTGGACTCAAGCCATGGTTTCACTGATGCCAAACAAATCTGATGCGTGCGCCCACTAAAATTAAAAGATCCTGGTGAGAAATCTCTTGTGTGCACCTATCTAGGAACCAAAAAAGGCACGTGCTTTATCTCCACAGTGGTGGAGATAAAGCGTGTACTATGCTGCTCAGGGTTAATTTCCTATTAGTAATCGCCACGTCGCTTCACTCCTTATTTGCATAAAGTTAAACACAACTTTGTTGTGTCGCTGACTTCACTCTATCCTCATGTGTTGCAAGTTATGTTGGAGCATGAATGTGGACTGTCTGGAGGTCCCTGAGGATCAGTTTGAGAACCATTGCCTTTGTTGCTTTATTTATTTTAGTACTAATACAACTAGTATAACCTGTATAATATGTAGAATGTGGTTTTAAAAAGTTTTAGCATTGGCATCAAGACCAAGGTATTTAAGAAGGAACAGAGGTGTAAAATGAGTTGGAATAGTTGGTTAAGATAACGGCATAATGGATTGAAGTCCAGTTACCTACTGGTTACTAAGGGTGGGTGATGTGGCAAAAATATGACAGCATGATACGAAGACATTTTCGTGAAATGCATCATGATAAGTTTTTCCTGAAGTTTTTGAAAAGTTGGAACTGTAAAAGCACGAGCAGTGCCGCATAAAAATACCATCAGAAGTATAAATCAGTGATTCAGGGATGCACAGATATGGGGATTGTGGGCCAGTGCCAGTATCTGATATCTTTTATGCACATATCTGATATCTCAGTCTGAAGGAGACTTTCACTGGCTGCTGTGGAATGTGCATTACAGAGGAATTTCTGTAGGATTACTGTTGCAGTTACATTAATTAAATGCAGACATTTTACTGCAGTAGTCCAGCATCCCAGACATTTTGGAGTACAGTAACTGTTGTCAAATATCAGTTTGAAATATCCGTCATATCTAAATATCGCTCTGATGCAGATACATTTTTTTAAAGCAATTTTTCTGCTGGTACGATATGATTCTGATATCGTTATGCATCACTACAGTAATACTGCACTTCACTAAATCCAATTAAACAGGACTAATTGTGCTCTTTTTGTAATGAGCCATGCAGTTGGTCTTCTTTAACTACTGATGATATGTTCGGAGTAAATTTATGATGCTGATGATGTCGTCTTTTTGCCCACCTCTACTGTTTACTCTACAGTTATACGCTAAATGTCGCCTACAGATCCCTGCTTAAGATTGTTCGTACAGCTCCAGTCAGGAATTAGTCTAGAAGTTTTTAATACTGCAGGAAAAGGCTTTGCAGTAATATGGAAAGCATTAATCACACACATATACCGTGCGCTCATTAATAAACTAAACTGAGGTAGCTGTGTTGCAGTTTTAGCCCTTTATAACTGAGATTTTAGGGTGAAGATATGGAAAAAAAACACCATGGGCTCCCAATGCATTCAGTTTTTTTTGTGAGTGTAGCACTGTCGCTGTCAATCCCATAGATATACATATCTAGATGTCGTGTTTGGTCCAGCCGGGCACGTCAGCGTTGCCGCCATTTTGGGGCGGTCAGCATTGCTGGTCGACACGCAAAACATGTGTCTCAGTTTGAAAACATTAGATTGGTTGATCAGTTTGGTTCTCAAAAAGTATATATATTTTGAGCCCCACCTCATGCCATTGATGTGCACTGCTTTCAGCAGCGCAGGCTAAGTAGGTCTTCAGAGGACTTTTTCCTGGTCTGCTCTGTTGAAGTACTTGTTATGTTCCTGGATGAGTTCCAGATCATTCAAGTGAATCCACTGCGCACTTCCTCTTACCTCTTCCCTTTGGAAAAAAATTGTCGTGCCAAAGGTGAGCAGATTTCCTTTCTGAGAGTCGTCTTACTGAATAGTCTTGTTGCCGCAAATGTTTTATTTTACTGGCTCCTCATGCTGCTTTGGCATCACCTTTAAAAAAACAATATACTTTAAATTAACAATTCTGCTTTATCTAAAAGTGACTGCTAAACACTCTGGCATTAAGGTTTTTTTTCTGGACTATGAGAAATTAAGTAATAAGATTGGTTGATCCATTTTCATTGTTGTAGTTACATTTTTTTTTTTTTGCTTTTTTTATGATTGTATTACTACTTTGTATTACTAATTGAAGCACTTAAATTTTAAATGAATGTTATTGAATGTTTGGTTTGAGTTAAATGTTTTTGTTATTTCTATAATGTCATATATATGCTTAAAATTACTGATACACCGTGTGGCTACAACTTTGTTTATAAATCATTTTGTAATTGATCATAGGGATACTTGCTGTTCACTCATTGAGCACACGGTGGCAGTGTAGCACCACTGATATCATTTACTTCTTTTTCTGCTCAGACCGACCCATTCAGGTCATGAAAAAGTCCTGTTTAATCTTATCATAGCTGACAGCTTATATCTTGCAGGAGCAGAGCAGAGTATAGCAGAATGCATTCATAGGAAGGTTGCAGTGCTGATAAATCTTTAGAGTCTTTCATAGAGAGTCGTGTTGTCTGTACAGAGTTACTGTGTTCATTTGCAATGTTTCACTTTCTGAAGCAGATTAAGTACCTAACCTTAACAGGCCAAACAGGATAACATTTAGAAATACACAGGTATTTTTTATTTTAATCATATCTGAATTAATAGCTGTGAATTACAGTCACTTATGATTACTTACTATATGTATGTATTTACTTATAAATAAAATCCCCACCTCTACAGTGTACAGCCACTTCTAAATCGAAAAGACCCAGACACCTGTACTGTGTGCAGCCCACAAGTACAGCAGTCTTTTCATAGTTTACATAATGCAGTTATATTTCTCTGTATTGTGATTTGCCTGGAATATACAAAAACACACTGGTGAACCTGTGATATGATGTGGTAAATAATGGGCCTGCATTACTTTTGGGGGTGGGTAAGTAAGTAAGCAAACGAATGAATGAATGAATAAATAAATAAGGAAATATAAATAAATAAATAAATATATATATATATATATATAGTGGTGTATATGTGTGTGTATGTATGTATGTATGAAGGAGTGTGTGTGTGTGTGTGTGTGTGTGTGTGTGTATGTATGTATGTATGTATGTAAGGATGTGTGTGTGTGTGTGTGTGTGTGTGAACCTTGATTCAACCAAACTCCAGCAGAAACATCTGTGGTAGGTCAGGATTTTCACAGAACATATCCAGGAATAGGTTAGAAACTTATTGCATTTATACAACAGTTAGTTGGTTGGTTGAGAAGCATCCTAACTGTGCTGTTATTTCGCCATAACATCACAGGTTTTTCACAAACATTGTATCACTCCGCTGCGACACCGTTGCTACGCAACGACTTTGACAGCTGTAGGAGACGCTCAAGACATTTGAACGTTTTTACTTCTTACTTTGCCACAAACAGAAAATGGATCACATTTGACCGACAGCCGATTTGGTCAGACTCTGAAGATGAGACGACACTAAATTCCCAAACTGTCATCACCACTGAGCAGCTTTTCAGTCGGCAGCTGTGACAAAAGAACAACTAAACAACCTGGAATCAGCCAGAAATGAACCCAATACCATTCGCCAAACTAAACGGGCTGTAAGATGCTTTACAGACTGGCTGGAACAAAACAACATTAATATTGATCTGGCAAAAATTGACAAAACTGAGCTAAACTTGATATTGCAGCAGTTTTATGGCTCAGTCCGTACTTCAAAAGGCGAGGCTTACAGCAGACTGTGCAGCAAGTGGGCGGAGCTCGTTACTGTGACATAGCAACAAGCTGCTTGTTAAGGAACTGTAATTTGGCAGAAGGAACTGCGAACATTAAAACATATTAAACGCCGCGTTCACGGCCCAGTTTATTAATTTATTACTTTATTTATTTAACTGTTGTCTAAAAGCAGTAGAACACTCGAGGAGTGTGATCGCGAAATCACAGCCATGATGTTATTTCACGATGACACACTCCCTCTCATGTTTTATTGCTTAAATTGCAGCTTTCTGTGAGATCAGTGTTGTGAAGGCTGATATCTTAATAACGATAAACGAACAATATTGTGCTGCGCTAACTTTAATCCTTGGATATCAAAATCTAAAGCGGTGGAAATAAATCTGTTAATATGTGCTTGTTTCTCTGATTAGTACTCTAATGGACTATGTGCTTTACACTGCAGGTCTGCCCCAGCTACAGAGGGTCCTGGTGCCTCAGGAATGGCAGGGGGGCAACCGCAGACTGCAGCAGACCCAGGCTCAGGTGGATGAGGTAAGACAGCAGTAACTACTGGCCGTATTTGTTCTTTTCAGTTTAACTTGACCACTACATTTGCAGTAAGGGTGTAACGATACACAGATTTCAAGACATGATACGTGTTGCCATTTAGGCATCATACTACAAAACATTTCACATGTATTTCTTTATTTCTTTATTTATTTATTTTTTAGGTTATTCCCAAAGTGTTGTTTTGGGGAATAAAAAAAAGAGTGTTTGTTGAAGGTGTAACTGGCATGTTAGACAAATAAAAACATACAGAAACTAAAGTACAGGATAAATATTTCATGTTGCACATGACTGTTTGGCAAACACGCGTGTTATTATGGCTCAAAAATTAAAGTAAACAAAAATTATGGACTATTGGGCTGCATCTCAAAATGAAATGAACTGAGCTTTACAAGTTCTTTTACAGTCAGATCTTGTGTGACTCTTTCCTTCTGGCTGAAATGAGCGTGAGTAGGGATTTTCTAACGCTCCTGAGTTTTCCTGAGACCACTGAGTGTAACTGCTACTTCATTTAAGATGTAACAGAAAATTTAAATAATAAAGCTGGCAAATAATAAGCTAACTGACGCTTTGACCTAGATAGGCTACCTAAATCAGTTTTTACCACTTCGGAGAGCTGCAGCATTTCATGGATTGTGGTAAATAGAACGACACAAACCGTTCCTTGTATCCTGCGTTTTACAGCATAAAATCTATCTGTGTTCGATTATCAGCACATCACATATGTACAATACACATACAAGTGTATCGTATAATGGACAAGTACAGCATCGGGTACATCACTAGCAATTGTGTGAAGTTAGTAGAATATAAGCCCTATATTAAGCCGGATTAGCCGGGGAAGGCTGGTAATGTGAATTGTGAACGATTTGACTGGCTGATTCGTACAGGATAAAGAATCTCTGATTTCCCCAAAATACCCCACATAGCCTGAATCAAAACGTAATTGCATATCAGGATTATGCGTTGAGGACCATACTTTTGAACACACGTTGTGCTGCTAAATGCTAAATATGGCACCCAAAAAAAAAGCGCAACACTGGGGTGACGTGGGTTATCAGTGACAGTTCGAATCGATAGTGCATAATCATAGCGTTGTTTTGGATTTCAGTAGTCTTCTCATGAACTTGTGGAGTGGATCAAATCAAACTTCTTTTAGCTGTCAGCTTTGTCTTCAGGTCGCAATAAAGAAAAACATGCTGTTTTCTATTACCCAGTTTTGTTTTTACAATACTGTGATGTTGATTTGAACTCGACTGTTACTGAGAAAGCTATAAGTTCGAGAAGTTATAGAAGGTAATTCAGTCTGGAATTACGTAGCAGTCTTGTAAAAACTATGAACATTACCAATGAGACCTGTGATTTTAATCCAGTGTGAATCTGAATCTGCAATCACTCAGATTACAGCACCTCCCCAGGTAGACTAATCCTGCTCAAAGTCGAAATGAGCACATAGTAAAATGTATTATATAGTAACTCTAATGTAGCATGTTATGTCAGACCTCGACAGTGAGACAATAAACAGTATCATGTATATATAATAATAAAGTAACAGTACGGCAATAAGGCTGCAAAAATATTTGATGAAAATTGCTAAATAATCATTTTTAAAAATGGAAAAATCCAAAATAACAAACGTTTTAACACAAATGTACCACTTTTATGAACCCAGGCACTTCTGTGGCAAAACATTTTTAATGTGAAATAATGGCTTCTCAGCTTTAGCATGCAGCTACCGCCTCTGCATACTCAACTGAATACACATGCCTCGTGATTTGGTACAGTTTGTGAGACTCTTGACGGTTCCAGGTGACGGCATCGTTTTACTCCAGGTGCAGTTCACGCAAGTTTCCAACTTTTCCAGGTTGGTATAGCATGCTATCCAGCAGGCTCTCAGTTGCGTTTATGAGCAAGATTAAAAGTCACTGTTTCTGCTCTCTGCCACTATTCACTGCTTCTTAGACCTAGATCAGGGTTGCCAGATTGGATAGAATCAATATTTTAATGCAGCTTGCTATTAAATAATTATTTAAAATGAACCACTGAAACTGTTTTTAGTGTCTTGTGTTTGGAGCTGAAAACTCTGATACGCTGCAGTGGTGCTGTAGGTTTTCCTAATGCGTCTTTTGCCAGATATCCTCACTGTGGTCAAGAGAGAAGCTTTGCTAATGGACTTGTCTGTCCACAGCTGCTACTTCAGATCATAAGGTGCCTCATCACCTCACTCACCGCTGTACCAGATATGTACTTTTTGTCCATTTCTTAGGAATGTGTGTTTAAAAAAAAGGAACTGTAAATGGACTCCAGCCAAAATTTAATAAAAAGATTTAATCACCACCACACCTGTTGTAAACATGCTTGCTTGCGTCCCATAGCGGTGGTGCAGCAGTCTCTAGGGCACATGTCAGCCTCCAGTCCTCGTGGGCCATGAAGTGCCTCATTAAACACTCCTGATTCAGCTCATCATCTGATTAGCAAGGCCTTCATGAACTGAAATCAGTGTTAGGGTGAATGCTAATATGCACAGCACTTTGTTCTGTGTAGTCCCCAATTTGACATGCCTGCTCTAGAGTCTAGAGTGAGCTTTTCCAGTTTAAAGATTAGGAAACCTCCTTTCTGATGTGTCCTGAAGGTGCAGTATATCTTGTGTGTGTGTGTGTGTGTGTGTGTGGCCTGTCACAATCATGAAATTTTAGCTGACAGTGACCTTTATTAGTCCCACAACGGGAAAATTTCACCTCCGCATTTAACCCATCCGTTATCAAAAAATCCATTTTTATAAAAAATTTCCGTATGGCAAAATGAATGGCGATTCGGAATGTTTTGAAAGCAACCAGTGATGATGATGTAAGTCTGTGCTTTTTCCCGACCTGAACTTTCAAAGATGAGTTGCCATGATTTCTCAGACACATGTCTGTTTGCTCATTTTCAATAATTGGTTACTCATTCTTTTTGTTGAAAGCACTCGACCACAGGATTGCTCGAAATGCTCTTCACAGCTGCTGAGTCCTGGGAATAATCTTTGATCTGTACTGTTGATTATGGAAGAATATCGCTTGTGCCACAGTTAAACCTTTAGTGCTGTGTTGTACTGTCATCGTGTTCTGACAACTGGGAAGCATCTCACTTTGAGCAATCTGTCAGACAAGAAGTGAACATTTAGAGCAGAAATTTAGGGCCAAGCAGGGAACAAACAATCTGCACATCTCTGAGCGCGTTTACATGCACTTAATAATCCAATAACTGCAGAAAATCAGATTTTGTCAGTAATCTGATCAACGTATTTACATGCACTTGAGTAATCAGATAATGGGGAAACTCTGGATCTATATGAGTCAGACAGTAATCAGATGTCTGCTTTGCAACCGTCCAATAAACGTGCAGGTATGACACTTCACCTGGAAATATGAACATACATCATCTAGAAGATGAACAATATTTAATTCCTTCAGTTCGTCAAGCATGTAGTTGGTTTCAGCGTCGCTCCAAAAGTGTTTTGCTGCCATCTCGTGGCAACGCTGCTTGCTTGCTTACCTCCGTTGCACATATGCAGACTGAGAAATCCGAAAGAAATCAGAGTAAGAGTTTACATGCACTGAGAAATCTGATTACTGAGCTAAAATCCAGCTCTCTCTATCAGATTTCTTAATTGGATTTCTAGACCTTACTCCAATCTGAGTAAACTGTTTACATGACCATTTAAAGAATCAGATAACTGCAGAAATCTGATTATGATCAGATTAAACGCACTCTGTTACAAATGAAAAGAAAGTTTGTTTCTAGCACCTTTTGTTTATGAGCAGTTCAGCGAAAAGCCCAGTGAGTGCAGACGCTCCAGCTAACCTTGTAGACGGGGTTAATTGTGACACACACATGGGCTTGTTGTAACAGTTGCTGATAGCATAGTAAATCAGTGCAAAGCACAATTAATTCAGTAAAATTGTGTAGTTTTAACAAGATGAGATTTCCAACCTAAGCATGTAAAAATAGCTGCATTAAATATGACTAAGGAAAGGGAGAAGGACAAACATGCCAAATTTATTTTTGACCATAAAGAACAGCAAATCTAAACACAATAAAATTTAAATGTATGTTATTTGCATGACTTCTCTAGTACATTTTGGATTCATTTGTGCACAAAACTTCCAAAAATTGGACTGCTTTGATTTTATATGGGGACAAATTAAGTATAAATTCAATGCTGAAGTTGCTATAGGAATACAAGAACATGACTAGCTGGTTTTGTTTGAACTTCTACTACATAAAATATTTGTTACATTTCATCCCAGGTTGCTTTGTGCTCACTCCAGATGTCTATTTTTGTTCCACTAACTCAGCAGTGTATCTGAGGGTAAATAATGTATCAGTGAAAGTACATGAATCTGTTCCCTCGCTAGAAAACAAATTAATTCAAGCTTCTCACCGTTGATTATTAGAGAGAGAGTAATTTCTTGATTATGTTGATGAGTAATCAGGGAATAAACTATTTTTAATTCAGAATTGGCCAAAGATAAACAAGGAGGCCTTTAAAAAGACACACAGTGTATGTGGGTGGACGAATGGATGGTTGGATGGATGGTTGGATGTATGGATGGATGGATGGATGGATGGATGTCCATTCAGACTAGAATTTAAAATATGTATGATCTTGTTAAATGCTGGATAATCATTAGATTTATCTGAACGGTACATTTTAATACAGTTTATTTTATAGTGCAGCTCTCTTGTTTATGGAACAAATGCCGTTTCCTAGACCCAGTTTTCTAGTAGTACCACGTATCCATACAGTCTGTTACATAGCAAACTATATGCCCTGGTTGCTGCTGTTGTGTGCAGTTCAACTTGGGACATGTCTGCTGCTGCCTCAAAGACCCTTGAACCTTCCCATCAGCCAGTCAGAGGCAGCTGCTCATAGGCTCCCAGCCATTTATGTAACCAGCCGTCACCATGGTTATGTAAGTGAAGCATGGGCCCCACGCATGTTGCCCGGTCCTACTGGGCCCGCCTTAAAGGGGCGGCACTGCGTCCTGCTGTCTCTTCCGTCAGCCAGTTTGTGGATCACTGGAGCATGTGGATTAGGAGCGCGTCGGCCAAGGTGTTTTGTTTCGTTACCATGGTCATTAGTTATGTAATGTCGAGGGGGAGGTTGCGCAGTCTCGTAAACCTTTCGTAGCGCTGAGGAAGCGGGGACTTTTCCAGTGCACAGTAAAAAGGAGGTTAAGGGAGGTTGTCACATGCAATACGGCTTGAGAAATGAGCATGAAAACCACCCAGGAGTTCTTTTACACAAGGGTTGTGTTTGTTTCAAAAGAGAAATATGGGGAACCATAAATGTGTGAGACGTTGATTAAGACTAGAATCTAGAATCAGTTTTCATGCTCCAATGAGTGTGATCGTATGAACAGCAATAATACGCTCTAGATCAGCTGCCTTACAAAGTTGAACCTTGTTAGCATCCAGCCTTTTGAACAGAGCAGTGTAAATGAGCACTGTTGTTCCAAAGCTATGCAGCCATTTAGCCTTCTGACTTTCTGGCTAACCCTCTGGCAATGACCCAGAGAGCAAGCAGTGCTCCTAAAATCCTGCCCCTGTGTTTAGTGTCTGGTAGTCTGCTCATGCTCAAACAGCAGATTCTTTTTGTCAGAGGTTAAAATACCACCTTGAAGGCACTAATATTGTGAGATGTTTGTGAAAGCTTTCCAATTTAGCATAAACTTTCAAAATAATATTCATCAAACATGAATGAAGAGTCCATGTCAAGCTGGCACTCAGTGTGTTGGAGCTTGAAATATTTCTCCAAACCCAACGTGAGCCGACTGCTCACATTAGGTTTGGTTGAGTTTGGCCATCGTTTTACAAATATACATTAACTGGCCACTTCTTAAAGTAGGGATGCATCGATACCAATGCTGTTTAAGTTTTTCTGATGCTGTGGCAGTCGGATGCAGAGTCATTGGTCACTTTAAACATTCCCCCTTGGCATATTCCCAACAGGCAACGCTGATTTTAGCTCACAATCACAACCACTTCCCCAATACAGGTGACGACATGTAAGCTAGCAAAATGGAGGCAAAAAAGTCGACAGCCTGTGTCGACTTTATTCCGTTTGACTGAATAGACTTGCTAACTGTCTTTTAAAAATAGGGTATAGAGATGTCCTGACATGTATATTGCAGCACAGTGCAGTCAGCAGAGCTGCTGTAGCTCAGTTTTTCAACGTGTTTGCTCAGTACTCCGTGCCCAGCATGTTATTTTGAATGAAACCGCTTTATTGGAAATTGCCCATAGACAGAACTGTATGTAGGGGCTGCGTTTCATATAGCATGTGAGGAAGTTGAGCGTAGGTGAAGGCTAACATTGTGGACAGCTGATTTATTTTTCTAATGGCTTATTTTATATTATTATATTTTATTTATCCATGATCTAATGACTGCTCTTATTGTTGCTACACAGTAAGTAGTGCTATCCAGGTTTTATTCAGCACGTAGGGTTATGATGGGTTGATTCAGTTCAGTTTGGGATAGAATTTTGTTGTACTTGGGTCAGTTTCGAACTCCAAACTTGAAGAAATGGTTCTGGTTGGATTTGGACAGAATTTTACAAGACTTGGGTCAAGGTCTGACTCCTATCATTATGCTGTTTTGACAGAAAATTCTCAGGCTGTATTCAAGTTTGGACAAAGTTTCAGGCTGGATTAAAGCTCTGCAGTGTTTTACCTACACCAGTGGTGACATTCTCCACATTAGAAATAAAATGCGTTCCAGTTAGGCTTGTCATAGCTTGTCATTTTCCCAGTTTTCTGGTGCTCCACCACTGTAAATTCCCCCTGCCTTGTTGGAGGGGTTGTACAAGCTTAGGCCTATACGTCCATCCTGATCTTGCTCAACAGAAGGGCTGCAACTAATCAACCCATTATGACTTTCATTATGACTGTTAAAAATGGAACCTGATTCTACAAGAATCGTACATCGTTATTCTAAAAATGTACTCTTTACTGATAAAGCAAAGACAAATTTAGAAGTTTCAGTGTGGTCAGTAACATTAGGAAACCATATCTGATATTACTGACACAAATAAAACTATAAGAACCATGCAGTGTGTTGTCAGTATTTTCAAAAACATCAAAAACGCAGGAAATTGAGGTTTCATGTGGGTTTGAGACCAAAACGTACAGCGGGGAGGGAAAAAAACGAGTTTATCTGTAAACATGTGAGCAAGTCTTTGTGCAGTAGCACTCAGGCATCCATAGTAACTGATGAGTATAATTTAGTCTTACAGTTCAGATGAAAATGCAGCTCTTCCTCTCAGCTAAGACTTATTCTGTTTGCTAAACTAACGTATTGCTAGTTTTACTACTTCTTAGCAGTTACTCACCATGCTGAGCTTTCGTATTGATTGGTTGTTGCAGCCATACTCAAAATACATAATGTTGTGACTAAAAAGGACATCACTGCAAAGTATGCCTGATAAGTGCCAACAAGGTGCAGCCATAAAAGTGGAAAGCTTGCTTTAGTCTTTACACCTGAGTGGAGTGAATTTTTTTTATGTGCTTTTTGTGTCAAGCAGCAAGAATTGACTCGCTCTCTGCGCACTCAGTCAGTTTAAAAGGCTACTCTGATTACTGTAGGAGTGATTTTGTCTTGGGCAGGGCTGTTTCACCTTGTTGGATCACAGTATCCACAGTGGCTTAAATCTATATCATGAGCCAACATCATATCTATATTTACATTTGTACCAGCATAACTGCCACCCTGCTGGAATGTAAAGTAGGAATGCATTATATGGGAGTCTCTGTCAGGCTCTGTTTCATAATGTAGGAGATCAGAAGATTGCCAGCTTATCATTGCCAAGTAATTGAGTTTAATCAAGCATTAGTTTAAATTAAATACAACTTAGCTGTTTTTAAAATTCTCTCATCAGTGGTCTTATTGAAAAAAGCACGTCAGGAATGTCTTTCTAGGCAAAAGCTTTGCTTTGTAATGCACAGGAACCATCGGATCAGAGGGGATCCTATGAATATATTCCAAGAATGTGGAAAAATCAAACCATGTTGTGGTTTTTAAGACTACTTCCTTTGGCGTACCATAAAATCTGAGTAACTTATGAAAGCTCTGTCCGCAGGGACAGCATGTCTCCACACCTCAGTGTAGACCTAAAGAGCCCCTTAAATCACTCAAACTGGTTCCTGTAGTATCTGCATTGTTCTTCTGCTTCCAGGTGGTGGACATCATGCGGGTGAACGTGGACAAGGTGTTGGAGCGAGACCAAAAGCTTTCAGAGCTGGACGACAGGGCAGATGCTCTTCAGGCCGGCGCATCCCAGTTTGAGACCAATGCCGCCAAGCTCAAGAGGAAGTACTGGTGGAAGAACTGCAAGGTAACAGATACGGGGAAACTGAAAATGGAGAGATGTGGATTTCAAATGCCTCCAGTAGGGATGGGTTTTGTTAAATTCGTGTTATTGTTACTTTGTGATTTAGCTTTGACACATCGTAGGTGTCACCAGTATTTTTTTTGGTGATTAATTGCATGCTTCATTGAGAGAGAGATTTAGTCTAGTTGTCGAGAACCTGTAAACAACTACAAAATGAAAAGGAGGAGGGTGACTAGAACTGTGTTCACGTTACAAGCCTCATTGCTCAAATCTGATTTTTTGCTCAAATCCGATCTCTCTGACATGATGGTTCACAATCGTTTAGGTAAGTGATTCAAATCTGTCATTAATGTGAACAAACTGGTGTCCTGAAATGACCCTCATGCGCACATCCTACTCAGTAACGTCACATTAACGCCATGCGTCACGTGCATCATCAGCAAACAGGCTTTAACTTCTGTTCGGCGCTGCCGCCATGGTAACACTGAATGATGGCGCACGCGCAGTGGAGAGAAAAAGTTCATGAATTCCAATCTGAGCATCACATTAAGGTCGCATGGACACGAATCGGATATATATCCGATCTAGGACCACATATGAAAGTGGCTCAGGTCGGAAAGGAAAAGATCAGATTTGCACACAGCTCTGAAAACATCAGATCTGATTCACATTAGGGCAAAAAATCAGATTTGTGCCACTTCAACCTGGTAATGTGAACATAGCCTAAGAGATGACTGGATGTAGTAGTGGGTGGTTTACGGGTTTAAATTCTGTTTCTGGAATATTCATGTTTTCATTAATACTACAAATAAGCACAGATAACGTGATTTTGTAAAAGGCTGAGTCAGGGAAGTTTCAGGGATGTTTCATACAAGTTTCAAATGAAAATAAAAACACAATAGTCTCTCGATCACCTCCATGCTAAGTTTAATTGCGTCTTAGCAAGTAAGCTTTATTTTCAAGGTGGCAGACAAAAAAATAGCTGTTCCTTTGGAGCCTTCGCTTAACACCAGAGTGATCGCTGTACTTTCATACCACCTGAGAAACACTCTGAGGCTGTGGTCGGGTCTTGCGCAGAAACAAGCTATGGACCGTTCTGAATATTGATGCAGCTGACGTGGACTTCTTATTCGAATTTCTGTTCCACCTTAAAGCTGCAGTAGGTAACTCGTATAAAAAACATCACTATGTCAGGAGGAGTGTCAGCCACTGCTTGTGCACAGGCTGCAGGTATATATGTACGCGCACACACACACACACACACACACACACACATATACCAGCCGCTTCATTAAATCTACACCTATTGTCCATTTTATCAGGTTTGCTTACCATATTGGTGCACTTTATAGTTCTGCAGTTACAGCCTGAAGCCCATCTGTCAGCCCCCCTTTAACCCTGTTCTTCAATGATTTATTTATATATTGACCTCATTTTCTTGTTTCTTGGAGATAGATCCATTTAAAATGACCCAATTAAATGCATATTGGGTCAGTTACATGAATTAACACGTGAACATCTGGTGAAGGTCTGCTAATCAAAATTTCCTCAAATCTTAGACAGCGTATGAGTATGTGTTACAAATATCTAATCAATGTGATCTTCAAATTTGAGCTATTTTCTAATATTCACTTGCATTTGCTTCCAACAGATGTGGGCCATTTTGATAGCTGTGATCATAATCATCATTGTCATCATTATCAGTGAGTATCCCAGCGTCCTTTTCTCTGAGTTGGAGTTTAAGAAAGCATAGGAAAATTAATTGGTCAGAAATTGCTTATTGATTTAAGACAGTAGAATTAAGTTTTCAGTTCAAATGGTTAATTGAAGCAGTTTGTTAGCTGCTTAAAGTTGACTAAATACCAAATGTGTTCTGTAACCTAGATGTGTAGCAACGTACAGTTGTAATCAGTGAAGTTTTCGGAGGTTTTGTATTGAATCTGTGACGGTTAATAGTCATCTACTGTAAATGCTTACACATAAAATTGTCTTCTCTTTTCATTTAGTTTGGAATAAGTCATAAAACAGCAGGGGAATGGAGGAATGGCATGACTGTTGATGAGAGAGTGGATAAGATGATGAAGTATCAGCTGATACCATGAAGACAGAGAGCATGTTCTTCCAGAACTCTAAAGATGTTCTAGCCTGCTGACTTTCAAAAGCATATTTTGTAAAATATCTCAACTCTGTTTTTTTTATGTTTCGGTTTTAATGACTTTGATTTAAATGTTGCCTTACAGGTGAAGACAAACGCTTACACGTCTCACTCGTTTTCCTGACTAATCCTTTATTGAAATTAGTTTTCTGGTACACTCCCTACTGTCACTAGTTATGCATACCACGGTGGCCTAACGTCACCTTCAACGCTCAAGAAACGGTCTCCTAACTCTGTGTGATGAGGCAACAAGATTAATCTGTACATGTGTTCATGAATAGTTGGTTCAGGCATAACAGTTGAAATATACTGACCAAAAAATGGGGGAATGTGACCTTACACACCTCTGCTTCCTGATCAGTAGAGAGAGCTCAGTGGCTCTGAAAACAAGTTAGGTAACAAGTTTGCTATAAAATGACGGAGCTGTCTTTAGTTATATAGTGCCTTACAGTTTTATTGCACAATACAGCACAGTTTAGAACCAGCCATCCACTCGAAGGCCTTTATTAGAACAAAACAGACTTGAGTGCCATTAGAACCTAGCTGTGCCTTTGAAAACAACACTGCCAGCATAACTTACCCAGCAACTTAATGCATAATAGAGAATCACATTCAGATTACATTCTTAGCTGCATGTCCTTTCATGGTCAAATGATATATATAATTTTTTTTTTTGCTACACAGATGTTTTGCAGATGAAAGGTTTGACTAGAATCTTTTGCTGCTTTTTTTATTAGTCTAATAATCAGTATATTCGCACTGCTTTAGCATTTCTCATGTCATAGCGCTGTAAAGCAAGGCAGTTTTCTCCACGTCTGATGCCATACCTCTTCTTCACTGCGCCAAAATGACATTTGTTTATTTGTTTGTGTGATATATATGTGCCTTCTTTGGAATGTATGTAAATTGTAAACAGCTCTATAAAGTGGCCTTCCAAACTGATGCTTATTGGATTTGCCATCCGTACATTAATAAATATGGATTTAACAGTGTACCTCTTGTTTATGCTTCTTTCATCTCTGAGAGAATATAATTTATTTTCTTTCAAATAAAAAAGGCAGGTAGGATAACGTTAAACTAGATTGAAAGGGAAATTACCTAAAATATGATCAGATCTTCATTAACCCATACAAATAACTCACTAAAAATTCATTCATTTATTGAACTACATAATCTGACATTAAATATCTTTGACAAAAGTATATAAACCTGTTTTCAGGAGCTGGTGTGACCCTTTTGAGCAGCAGTGACTTCAACCAAATTAAGAGACCCTTATTAGTCCCACAACAGGGAAATTTAATCTCTGCATTTAACCCAAACACTACATACACACTACTGAACGCACACGCACCCTAGGGTGCAGTGAGCACACTTGCCCGGAGTGGTGGGCAGCCCTATCTGCAGCACCCAGGAAGTAGTTGGGGGTTAGGTGCTCAAGGGCACCTCAGTCACGTACTGTCAGCTCAGGGGACTGAACCGGCCTCCAGCCCACGACTGCGCCCATGGCATGGTTCCTGTAACTGTTGCTCAGCCCTGCACATTGACTTGGCCTGTTCCTTCTTAATGAACTGCCTTAACTCTGTTTTGTTGGTGCACAAATGTTACACCTTAGATTCCACCTCAACGTTTCTATTGGATTAAGGTCTGGACTTTGACTCAGCTATTGCAAAATGCAGCATTTCTTCTGCTTCAGCCATTCTTTGTAGACTAGTGTTTTTAGGGTTATTGTCTTTCTGCAGGACCCACTTTCTGTTGAGGTTCAGTTCACGGATGGATGCCTTACCATTCTCCTGTAGTATTTCTTAATACAATGCAGAATTCATAGCTCCATTACCTGATGGCAGTCCTGGACCTATGGCAGCAGAACAACTATGATGCTGCCACCACCGTGTTTCAAAGTAGGGATGAGGTTCATATGCTGGACTGCAGTGTTCAGTTGGGTTGAGATCTGGTGGCTTTCAAGGTCACAGAATATGCTTTACATCATCTTCATACTCATCAAACCATTCAGTGACCCCTCATGGATGGGGCCATTGTCATCCTGATAGAGAAGCCACTCCCATCAAGATAGAAGATAGGATGTTTCATCATAGGATAAAGGATAAATCAGCCAGAATAACTTTGCATTCATTTGCAGTGACCTTTCCTTCTAAGCAGAGAAGTGGACACGAACCATGCTGGCAAAATGCTCAAAACAGCCTAGCAAAGCCACCAGACGCCTCAGTGTAGGGGTCAAGCATTCAGGCCTCTTGGTGTGACACACATGCACTCCCCGACTTGTTGGAGAATATAGTGAAGGACGACTCATCTAACCTGATCACTATTTCCCCCCCACATCTTGGAGCAGTTTTGCATGTGTGTTTATCTGTGTAATAAGTGGTTTATGCACTGCAGCTTTACTATAATATTCCTCTCTATGTAGTTGTGGACAGACTGTTCATCCTGACAGTTGATCACACCCAACACTCAGCCACTGAGGAGCAGGTGCTCCTCTGTGTTTCCACACACAGAGTGGAGTCCAAAAGTCTGTGACTACATTGAAACCTGGGTCTAGGTCGCTATTTAAATTGAAGCAAATTTGTGAAATTGACCACATTAAGGCCTTTGTACAAAAAGATCATATTTCTTTTTTTAGTCTTATGTCTTCTGTTAAAACATATGTTCAGATGACCAGTGGATTTGACACACAGATCAGAGGCTTTTGCACAAACCTATGGAGTCCATGGCAGCTTTAGTGCATTATCTTTAAAGCAAAATGGGGACACACCACCAAATACTAAGAAATTCTGAAATTTATGTAAACATTGAAAGATCCTACTTTTCACTTAAATTGTTCTGCTGATAATATTTGTAATGCAAAACTTGTATTAAGTTAAAAAAGAATGCAAAATAGAAGTCTCAGACTTTTGGAGCCTACTGTATCACACTAGTGCACGCTTTCAACCACTTTCAACAACAAACACTCTTTTAAAGGTACGTGCAACTTCCGTGCCACTGTGATCCAAAATTGAGATCAGCTGTTCAGCATTTTGCCACAGCATGATCGACGTTTCACTTTCATTCAGACACAGGAGCACATAGTGAGGTTAGGCGATAAGGCCTGGCTCACAGTCAGTCACTGTCGCCTCACAGCAAGAAGGGCCTGGGTTTGATTCCCCGGCCGGGCGACCAGTGTCCTTTCTCTGTGTGTGCATGGTCTCCCCTTTTCTGTGTGGGATTTCCTCCCACAGTCCAAAGACATGCAGTCAGGCCAACTGGAGATACTAAATTGTCCCTAGGTGTGAGTGTATATATCTTTGTAACTGCCCTGTGATGGACTGGCAACCTGTCCAGGGTGTTTCCTGCCTTCTGCCCAACGAGCACTGGGACAGGCTCCAGCTCCCCCCACAACCCAGGAGGATAAGCGGCTTAGAAGATGAATGAATGAAAAGAAAATCATGCAAACTCATTGCCTCAAAAAAATAAGTAACTTAACAGGTTCAAGCTTAAATAACTTTATATATGAGTTATAGTTACTTTCTAATTTTCAGTGATCCACAATTCTGCAGGAAGCAAGGTTAACTAACAGCCTATTAATTATAAATGGTGTCCAGTGAGCTGGCAGTGCTCTACTTTTACAAGTCCTTTCTTAATCTTGAATTAGTTTGGTTAACTTCAATCAAATACTCTTACTTGTATAATGTATTGGCATCAATTAAAACAACAGTGTATTAAACAGACTGTTCTGTATAGTGTTGAATACATGGCTTAGATAAGACTAGAATCACCCATTTCTGAGGACTCAAATAGCTTAATGCATATTTGCCATTCTGTTAGCATTCAAGGCTCCAGTCTGAATCAATAAACCTGAAAACAAAACACAGTCATAGTGAGAATATCAACATGTAAAATGCATCCAGACCTCACATCTAACATGAGAATATGCTGTGACATAGAATCAAAACAGAGTTATATTAATGATTAAAAAATAGTTATTAACAGGAACCAGCAAAACTGCTAAGAATGCTGGGAAGCTTTTTGAGCAAAACACTCTTCAGTCTGTAGAAGTGATTTTAACAAGTAAGTAAAGAAAAAAATGTACAATAATTATGTTTTAGACGTTGGATGGGGCCCTGCGATGGACTGGTGACCTGTCCATGGTGTATCCTGCCTCTCACCCAATGACTGCTGGGATAGGCTCCAGCTCTCCCCGTGACCCAGAAGGATAAGCGGTTTAGAAGATGTGTGTGTGTGTGTTGGATGGTGTTGAAGTCAGGACTCTGTGCAGGCCAGTCAGGAACTGTTTAGCTGGGGGTTTTGTGTAGGAGGACTTCAATTGTAGTAACCTAAAGAAAAATGCAGATTTCTGTATAATTCATTCACTGAGATGTAAACAACATCATTCAGAGGGGTTTGATGTGAAATGGTGCATAGTAGCGAAACCCAACAACACAGATCTCTTTACAGTGCTGGTGATGGGAACCAGGCGTCGCAGTGCAACATAGTGTTATACAAATATAGTTATTTTATTTACTATCCAAAACAGTCAGTGACCCTACACATGTCTTCTGGGTTTTATTTGTAAAGTTGACAGTGGTAAACGGTAGTAAAACTAAAAAAAAAGTTTTCTTTGGGGACTATTTGGTCTCATAACACCCAGCATGAACCCATCTATGAATGCATTTTCCAAAAAATACGTTTTAGGACAAAACCTTATCACAAAGCTATCGTAAAACAAACTCACAGGCATCTGGCAACATATTTGTAACCACATTTTCAAGTAATAACTTTCTGTGTTAGTTCTTAGAAGCAGACGTCTGGTTCCTATCACCACAACTGTGTAGAATCCTGACTTGGTGAGTTTCTCCAGAACGGAGCATTTCGCACGAAACCACTCTGAAAGCCTTTATTGACATCCAAACCATTTAATTAGTCAGAAAATTGGATTATTTGGTGGAATTCCTCTGTAAACGCAGTACAAACACGTGGACTGAGCCCAAAACCACGTTCTCTGTCGTCCAATCAATGCGCTGCTGATCGTGTAGTATTTATATAGGCGATTTCGGTCGGAGCCCAGCCTGGTGAACCTTTTTACCTCTTGATCTACTTTTTTGCTGCCCTCCTCCCTGTGTAACGTCACCGCCTGCCGGCTGCGGCTTTACGGTCCGCGAGCCAGAATCGGGGCCAATGGGAATCAGTGCTCGTAGACCCAATCCGGCGCGAGCTTCCGCGTCCGTCGCAACGCGCTGTGTTTTCCTGCGTTGTATAACATGGAGATACACGTGAGGCTGCCCACTGCCAGTCCTGCTCGCCACGCCCATCCGCCCTGTCGCATCCAATCAGAGCGCACCTGGGCGGGCACGTCCGGCGAATAGGCGTTGGAGGGGCGTGGCTCTACTCACGTTGCAGGAATGCGTCAGAGCCCTCCGCCAGAGCGGCGCGTGGGATCTCCAACGGAATTGAAACGAGAAACAGAAAAATAAAACGTAAACAACGAACTTTAGCTAGTAACGTTCGCACGGAGAATGAAGACCAGCGGCCGCTGTGCTGAATTACCCCGCTGAATGGCTCTTAACGGGAGTTCTGACACGACAGGACAGCGTTAAAGCACAGAGGGGCAGTCCAGAGCGAACAGTTGGCTGGACTTCAGCTACGTCCACACACTCGAGTCTGCCGTTCAGGTAAAGCACCGTTTTTAAGTTGTAACGTTATATTTGAGAGCTGCTTTAATAAGAAGCCTCTTCTTACACGAATTATCACTATTCTGGAAAGCTCTTTCTGCGCGCCTGCACGGCCTCACACGGATAAGCTAGGCCAGCTAACGTTAGCCACCTGATACGCTACCCTAACCCGCCTTTGACTAGGCTCCTCTTGAGGGGGGCGATCTTGTCTTGTGGTACGCTGACTTATTACGAGGTACGCTGGTGATATATTGCGATAAAAGTTTGCCTGAATCTCTCTTTCTACGGTTGACTGGCTTGTGTTGGTAGCTAGTTAGTTAACCTACATGTGC